CCTGAAACTGGCAAAGAGAAGAGGCAGCCAAATCAGCAGAAAGACGTGGTGGGCTTGTTCGCAGCCCTCTGCTCTTATAAAATACGCATGGTGCCAGGCCCTCCCCGCCCCAACCTCCCTTTGCAGTTATCTGGGCTAGGGAGAAAACAGGTGACACAGTGGAAGCCCCAGCCACCATCACAGATAAAAAAATTTGGGACGTTGATGAAAGAAAAGAAGGTGGAAAGCTATGGGTGCAGTGTGTTGATACAGATTTCCTTTGGGACCCCTGGACCTAATGTTTTTGGTTTCTAGGCTGTTGCTGTGTCCTCATGTTACTGCAACATGTGCTTGTGTCTTGGGGCAGCAACTGATGGATGCAAGGGGCAGGAAGGTGGTCTTCCTCTGTTGCCTCTTGTTAGAGTTAAAACAGAACCCCAGAACCAACCCAGTGGTATGGTGTTACTGTCACTCAGCCATCTCAGTGGCATGGGAGGCTGACTCCCTTCCCAGTGCATGAGCTGGGATCCGTCTTGTGTCAGCTGAAACTAATCTGCTGCCTTCAGCCCCTTGGAGCCCCTTCTTGCCTTGCACTAGCCCAGCCTGGATTTGGCATTCACTGTCAGGTGCCTGATTTCTGCCTTCATGGAAAGTGTCAGCCCGGCATTTCCCGTTCAGCTCCTAGGGACAAAGCAGGTCATGACTTATGCGTTTTATCATTAAAAAGATAATTTCCTCTAGATGTGTGCAATAAGACAGTGGCACCGACCTGTGATCTTGGCATTGCACAGCATTAATGATTTCCCTTTGCAAGTAATAAGCAGCAAATGTACACATTTTGGGGAGATCTAAATTTTTTTTTTCCTTTTAAGACTGCTGTCTTCGTAGGCCAGACTTAATTAGCAGACCTCATTATTTCCTCAAATGTAACTTGACTTCCATTGAATGAGAATCGTTCAGTGGATGGGGAGCAGCAGAGCAGTGCTGCAATATTCATATTGTTTTAATTGCAACATTAACATTTCATGCCGCTCTTGGCATACTTTCAGGTGCGGCCCTTTAGCTCAGTGCAACACCGTGAAAGGTTGGATCAGAACAATTAGGATAGAGTGACTGGATTTCTGGATTTTCTTTTTTTTTTTTTTTTTTTTAAAAAATGAAACCCTGGTT